AAAGCAATCTCATACAGGAAAATTTCTTGCAGATGAGATTCAGGACATTATTGAAACAATCAGTGTAGAAAAATTCAGTGGAATTGTAACAAATGGTGCCGCCAATATGAAATTGGCTAAAAATCTCGTTATAAAAGCTTATCCCTATATTCTTCCTATACGATAAATTGCATATCACATAAATCTCATTACAAAAGACATTCTTAAACAACAATAGGCTTTTAATTTAATAAAAAAATGTCAATCAATTGTAAAATGGACGAAGTTATCTCATCAAGCTGCAGAACTTCTTCGAGAATTACAACAAGAATATTTAATTTCTGGTGGTGGAATTCAATCTTCAGTAAAGACTCGTTGGTCAACAGCTTGAAATTGTCTTATTTCAATTTTAAGATTGCAACTGTGTTTAATAATGGTATGATTTTTTTTTTATATATATATTTAAAAATTTAAATTAATTTTTATTTTATATTAGATTTTAAAAAATCATCTGAATATAGTTATAAAAGATGTGGCCAATATAATTAATTCTCGAGGATTCTTTGATGATATTGAATGTTTAGCACGAATTATATGTCTTGCAAAAGAAGCTGTAAAAGCTGTTGAATGCAAATCAACTACATTAGCAGATGTTTATATTAAACTAGTTCAACTAGCTTCTGCAATACATCATATCCCACTAGAAACTGAACATCGTGAATTTCGAAGAATTTGTATTCAAATTTACAATCGTCGATAGGATGAGTTTGCTTCGAAATTTTTAAATTAGGATATTTTTTTCATCCTAAGTATTGTGGTCAGTAATCAAATTAATTTTTTTTATATTTGTATTATTTATTTATTAATTATATATCAATATAATTTTAGGCGCTGAGTTACAAATTGGTGGATTTCGAATAATAGCAAAAGCTGCAGTTAACTTATGGAAATCGTTAGGTGGTGGAGACATATCTGCTAAAATATTACTTACTCAAATGAAAAATTATCGTGAATTTGTAAAACCATATAATGACTATTGGGTAGATAATACTAATACATTAACTAGTTGGTGGATAAGTTGTGATGATCAATCTAATTATTTGGCACGCTTGGCATTAAGAATTTTGGCAATTACACTACACAATGCCGGGTGCGAAAGAATTTTTTCTGTACTTCGGTGGTTCTATGATCAAAGAAGATAAAATGTTTATTAAATTATTGTATAAGATTTTATTTATTTTTATTTTGATATTTTATTTATTTTATTTTAATTTAATTAATTATATTATATAGAACTCGTTTAAACATAGCAAAACTTGAAGATATGGCGAAAATTCATTCTTACTATATTTCAAATATTGATACTGAACTTACTCATATTACATCAAATATAGAAGTGGATGAATTACGACAAAAGTTTTAGATGCAACCTTATCTATGGGATTAAAGGATGAAGATGATGAAAACGATATTTATTCAATAGATGAAATCGAAGAAGAGCTTTTTATATTAGAAGAAAATCAATATGATACTATTTCCGTCGAAAGTGAATTATTATTAATTGGCAATACAATGGATTTAGATTCATCTAATTTTAAATTACAACCTTTAGATAATGATAGTTCAGAAATTATTGAAGATCACATCGAAGAAGATCATGGTAATAAAGAATTTGATGTTGATGCTTTAGTAAATAGCTTCGATATTTAAGCATTTACTATTACAAATGATTTGATATATATAAATGTACATAATATGATAATCAATATAATAATATATTTTATTGCTAAATATATTAAATTTATATATTATATATTGAATACGTAATAATTATTAAAAATTTATGTACAATATCTATTTAATTAGGACTAATAATTCTATGAATATAAATTTTACAATGTCTAAAGTTGCGGCTTTTAATTTAGGTTATGGCACACATTATAGGTTTCAGTTTTGATTTTAGATT